AAAACATGAAAAACTGGAAAATTTCATCAATGGCGGAGATCAATTTGTTTCATAAATGTCGAAAAAATTCCATCAATGACATGGAAAGAGCTAAAATTCAAAATGGTTTTCAGTAGCGCTGTACAATATCACGATATTAAATTGTGAATAGGGATGGGCACGAGTACTTGAACGTGACAGCGACCATCAAACATGATTGCCATGACTTTAAAAAATATATATTTAGCTTTTTCTGATTAGTAGGGATGCACCGAATCCAGGATTCGGCTTCGGCCGAATATTGGGCTTTTTGACGGGATTCGGTTTCTGCCGAACCTTAGGATTTTTTTCCACCGAACCGAACCCTAGGCTTGCGCTACCTACGCTGGTCGACGTCACGCAGCCGTTGATTATGGGAAGGTGTTTACGTAGGTGGACCGTTCGAATGCAGTAGGCTGTGAGAAAGTGAAAATGAAACTTGTGAGCAGTAATCACAAATATAAGACGCGCTTGGTTGAGTTTAATAACCAGCTAACAAAACGCTGCAGTTTACAGACCGTAGGCTACATTCACTCTTCAGTTTCAGCTCAAATGCAATGTTCGACATTATTAACTTTAACATTATCCTTTTAGAAATAAATCATTGATGATATTAATAATGCAGCAGTGTTCTTTTGTTCACATTTTTTAACAGTAAACTTGTTTTATTTAAAATTGTTTCTTGTTATGGCTTCGAAAACGCGCAGTAATGACTGCAATAACTTTTTATCATGAAAAATAAAATTAAGTGCAAGATGTGCAGCGCCAATAAACACGAGATATTCAGCATTATAATGAGAACAGGATTGTGATAGAATGTTGTAAATTCTCTGTGCTTTAGTTGCCCGTGTATCAGTGCGCTGTTAAGGGAAGAGCGCATCCAGAGTTTACCTTTCAAACCATAGACTGTAAAAAACGAGGCTAATACACATGCGCATTCGCGTCCTTTTGTGCAGATGCAAGTTGTAATGTTATGTATCTAGGATATCTTGATTATTAATCTCATAGGATCTGTCATAGAACGGGCTTCAGTTTATTGGAGATCATTTACTCTTCAGCTTTACCTCAAGCAGCGATTCCTTTTAGATATTTCTTTTTCGATAACGTTTCATGCATCATAATCTAGCAGTTATTTTTTTCTAGTCATAAATTCATGTTTTCATAGACATGTTATATGTCATATTTTTATTTGTCAACATTAATTTTCATAACAGCCTTTCATGTAGCATTTCGTAACATTTTTGGACCCTAGTGACAACCACAATAGCCCTAAATGTCAGCAGAGAACATAACAACTAGATGAGCCCTAGAGACAGGTACCATGTGAAAAACTCATCGACACGAAAGCCAGACAACAAGAACCAGACCACCAGACAATCTTCAAGCAGAAGGAACCGATGGAGTTTGGGTTTCCACTGTCGCCTCTGGCTTGCTAGTTGGGCTAGTATATAATTGGGCTATATGTTAATTTCTTTCTTGTGCTGAACACAAAATAAGATATTTTGAAGAATGTTGCTATCAAACAGTTGCTGGTCCCCATTTACTTCCATAGTAGGAAAATATATACTATGGAAGTCACTGGAGAGCAGCAACTTCTTTGGGTTTAAAACAACTTGAGAGATTAAATGATGACAATTTTCATTTTTGGGGGAACTATCCCTTTAATGTTAATAAAACAACAAAAAGTGAGCGTTATAACATTTTTTGCCATATCACCCACCCCTAACTATGTTATATCTAGATCTGAGTTTTCCCCGCTATTTACAGTTACAACATTTACTATGTACAACTTTTGGTTCTAGTACACAACTTCCTGAGTCATCGTATGGTAATATCGGCATATGGTAAGGGTCGTGAAGCATCAGTGACCTACTCATACTGATTCATGCATGAATAACAGCAGCCTTAAACATGTTAGTACATGTTTGCTAGTTAATGCATTAATTAACGTTTAGTCAAGTCAAGTCATCTTCATTTATAAAGCGCTTTTAACAATGGATTGTTTCAAAGCAGCTTTACAGAGATAAACATAATTTAAGGTAACAGAGATTGTTTTGGCTTTATAGCAGTTCTTGAATAATGTTATTTCAAGCTAAAGTTAATTTTGATTGATTCACCTCCGTCGAAATGATCAGACTTTAAACGCGAACCTGTGATTAACGCTCACATGCACATTCAGAATTGATTCTATAGTTATGTGCTGTTTAGGGGTAAACTAAATCAATCAGTCTCTGTAAGGATTAAGCAGTAATCTAAATTTGAATTAAACATATAATTTAAACTGTAATATCATAATCTGCAGCTTTGTGACAAATAATTGGAAAGGCACATGATTTTTTATCCATTAATTACACAGATCTGTCTAATCAAACGTGGAAAATATACTAATAACTAGCACTAATAAATTTAATTTGATCTAAACAGTTTTCAGATTTTTATAGTTTATTTAGGCATATGTTTAGTAATAGCTACTTCTCTTCCTGGAACTACAGTATGTAGGGTTTTTTTCTGGTGGGACACTCATTAGTGGCGCATTCGGTGCTCGCTCGTTGGTTGTGTTCCTATGGTAATGCTGGCATTTTAATCTCATAAATGTTGACTTCTTTGGTAAACAGAATTAATAATTAAAGACATGTTTGCATGTATGTTGTATTTGGGAGGTTTCAGGAGATTATGTAAAATAATTAACTGTATTTTTTGTTGTTTCAATATATATGCTTCAATTAGCATTAGCTTATAGCTTATTCCCTATTTTACATGTAAACGTGTCTTGTGTGTCTTTCCAGGTATGTTTGGACTTTCTTTTAAGTCCATATGTTTAATTGTATAAATAAAAATAAAAGAACTACACAGAATTTTTATCTTTGTTTTTTTTGTACCATGGGTGCAAAGGAATAAGGATGGCACTCTTATTGTATATGTTTATTCATATTTTAGTTAATGATTTGTAAGTGCATCATAGTGTCATGACTTTACTTGAGGAGGCACATCATAATTAATTCATTATTAACTTACCATACATTAACATCGACTAATGGCTTGTTAATGCATCATTATGTCAGGACTTTACTTGAGGGGGCACATTATTACTAACTCATCATTAATTACTTATAAAGTAACATGAATTCATGACTTGTTAATGCATCATTATGTCATGACTTTACTTGAGGGGGCACATTATTACTAACTCATCATTAATTACTTATAAAGTAACATGAATTCATGACTTGTTAATGTATCATTATGTCATTTCTTGTCTTGGCCCTCCAAGAGTACATCTTTAAAAAATTATCAATTACACATGTTCTATACATATTCAGCTCTTCTAAATCAGACATCATTTGGTGCTTTTCGGTGGTTTGTAAAGTGGAAGAGCAGAGGTGCTGTGTCCGAATTTGGATGGAGAAGGAACTGAACGGTAGGAGGAAAGTGGACACATTTTGATGGGGCAATAGTGGCCCCAAAGAAGAGCAAGAAAACAAGACTAACATCTGACTGCATTATGATATAAAGAGAGTAAACCAATCCACAAAATAACCACAGAAATAACCATCATCTGTGCCAACACTGATTTTAATTTTGAAAATTACATCTGTTTAATGGATATGTTAGTGTAGGTATTTCACTCTTGATGGCAGCAGTGGAATCACTTAAAACGGAATGAGATTAAATTGTTTTTAATGATGAATGCATCATTGTGTGTTCAATGAGTAAGGTTAAATGTAAATATTGCAAGACATTTAGTGTCATTCAATGATGTGTGTGACAGTTGCTGGTGGCAAATTTATGAACAATTTTACATTGTGCCCTTTTAATACATCTTTCTTCTAATCTAGAGCATGTTTGATTTAGTTTACCCCAAAGTGTTAATTAATACATTAATTAACAAGCATGTACTAACTTGTAGTTAAGATGGTATTTTCATGCAGGAATTCATATGACTCATGTCGTAGTTAAGGTTAGTTCTTCATTAGTACATGTCTTAACTCATCATTAGTTCATAGGAATGTAATTATTAATTCAGGTATTAGTACATGATTATTCATGTACTGTTATTGTAAAGTGTTGGCCACTGATATGGCTAACTAAGTCATGGCTAACTTAAGAGTAGAGCTGCACAATTAATCGAATTTCTAATCGCGATTACAATTACGAATGCCACAATTAAATATCATTCAAATCTGCGTTTACAAAAAAAAGTCCACTTACATTATTCTGCGTTCTTAAGAGGTGTGTTTAGAGCATGTTACGTTGTGAGAGGCGAATCACGACTACTTCAGAGAACCCAGCACAATAGAAACTACCAGTGACGTAAGTGTAGAGTTCGTAAAAGTTCCTACTGGCTGTGCGAATGCAACCAGGAAAATGGCCATAGGGGAACATTAGTTCTTAGGGAACTACCCTGGTGGCTAGTTCCTATAACTAAGTTCCTAGAATTACCCAGTGCGAAAGCCCATATTATTATACCATGCATATTTTTACTTTTTTATTTATTTATTTAAAGAAGACACCAAACCAATGTATAGTTGACATTTGAGGCTTAATGCTATAGAAAAGCAATACAAGTTTTTCAGGAAGAATGTTTTTAGCTCGTTTTTTATATAAAAATATGGCATGCAGTTGCTTCAAACAATAGTATAAAGCTATTCAAAACATCATTTAATGTAAATTGTGATAATCATAATTAACAATCGCAATTACAATTTTTAGGGAATAATCGACAATTATGATTTTTGTCATAATCGTGCAGCCCTAGATTTAGAGTATCCTAAGGATCCACAGAAAAAGGTGTTGAAAGTTTCAAAGGCTATTTTAAGAACAGCCTCTGGTGATACGCAGAGGTTTGAATTCCCCATAAGCTGGAGAGGCCACATGTTACATTAGTTACACTGTCACTAGACTCACATTGCACAAGACCAAAAGTGAAGTTGACAAAGAAAGCTCACAGTTCTCTGCAGTGCAACCTCTTTCTGAGTACTTACCTAAAGATAACCATTGCAGTTTTACAGGGGGGACATGCAAGCAGGAAGATCTGCAAAAGAGGAAGTAATAAAGCTCAATAACCGACTCTTTCAGACAAAGAAAATATAGATAAAAGATAAATGCAATCTTTGAACCATGGGCCAAATTGTGCTTATAAGTACAAGTTTATCACATTTTCAGTGGCTAAGTGTTAATCAAAGAGACGTTTGGCTACTGAAAAATGGATACCTGAAGATAACAACACCATTTTGGACCAGTTCAGTGTTGCATTCAGAACTATTTTCAAACCAACTTGGATTATGTAGCACTTTGATTATGGCAGAAATATAACTATACATTCTCTGATCATTTTTATTTGACTTATTCTCATGTAGCAATACAAACACACCAATTCAACAACACCATCAGCAAAAAAACTGTTAAAATGACAAATCTAAAAATAAAATTGCATTTGTAATAGAGCCATTTAAACAATCTTTTATACATTTCAGATAAATGTCAATATTAAAATAAATTTCAATGTTTACATTTTAGAGATATTTGTTTACTTTCATATGATGAAACAATTTTGTTGGTTAAGAACATTATGTGGTCCATGCAGTCTTTTCTTTCAGTGATAAAGGGAAGTAGGGAACTAAGGATGGGCTGTGAGCCATATCTACTCCTGGGGCCTGTACCATGATGGTAGTTGAATAAACTCAGGGTTACAGGATTAGTTTTGAGTTGATTAAACCAAACCAATCCAACCAGGCTTTGTTGGTACCATGATGCTGATCATCAACTTTCTCTATCAACTCAGGCTTTGATCCTGAGTTTAGGTGTGACATCAGTAGCGAACAGCCAATCACATGCTGAGAAAGAGTGAAACTGAGATTCATTTCTCACGAGAGAAGCAGCGCAATTCACTACAGAATATTACGAGATTGAAAAAATGTAAACAAATTTACACAGCAAGAAGAAAATATCTGTCTATGAAAGAGGACAACTAAAATAGAGTCTTGCTATATCAGTGCAAGTAAAAGTTGTGAAGTTAGTTTAGACATTTGATAAAGGTAGAGAAAATGTAACATTTAAGCTCACATGTAGTCATTTTATAGCTTTATCTATTGATTCTAAAGCGTATTTATATGACTTTATATTTATTGAATTAAACTGTGCGTAATAATAATTGATAAACTAAAATTGTACATGTGTGATCGATTAAGGGTACAATAATTACATAAATAATATCTAAATCAAACAAAATTATTATTCCAAATAAGCATTACTAAAAGCAGGACAATTTTTTCTTTAAAAATCATTTGCTGTGTAGTGATCTTTAATTTGGAGTGGAAACAGGTGGAGTGACTTTATCGCATCAGACATGTCACTTTGCTCACAGCTGATTGGTCCAAGTACGGTTTGAGATGTCTTACATGGAACATAACGTAACATAATTTATGAGCAATTAAGATCATAAAACAATGTTTTTTCCATTCCTTTTGAAAATTTTCAAGCGCTTATTAAATTCAATGATAGTCTAAACTCTATTTGGACATTTTCTGAAGAATATATAATGGTGTTTGCCCACGCAAAATTTGCTGACACGATGCAAGGGTGTTTTGGAGTGGTTTCTATGTATGCCTCAGTTTCATGAATGTCTTAAATCCCCAGTGAACAGCTTCAAAGGAAAACTTTATAATTAACAGTTATTTGAACTTATCCTGATTATGTGTAAATAACCTCTGTTAACTACATCTCACCATGTAACAGTGATTGGTGCAATGTCCAATTTGTTCTTTTGACCACAAATGCAACAACATAGTATAACTCTGAAGACATCTAGCTATTAGTTAATAATTTAAAAAGGGAAGTATTATGTTATTCCTCTGGATGTAAAAATAGAGAGTGTAGAAACACTGAACTGAGTTACACCTAGATTAGGGTTAGAAAGCATTTCATCCAGCCTATACCCTTTAAAAAAAGATCTGTACAAGCAATCATACGTCTCTCATACATGAAGCAGCCATCAACAAGCCTCATTCACATCAGAAGCATTATGACTTCCTCACCCATATGTCGTTTCAAACCATGTTTTGTTGTTGTTGTTTATCTTTCTTACCCGGAACACAAAAAAAGTGAATGAAAGTGAATGTAGACCAGGGCTATTGATAACTTCTTTGTCACTATTCAATTCTAATCTTCTCCTTCATCAAAGCTCTGAAATATCAACCATGTTTGCACATATTCAAATAGGCACAAACATCATTGGTGTGTCATCTCATGTCTCATAACTGATCATGACATTGACATTCAAATCACACAAATTTCAGGATATATATGGGCAACAAACCAGTTTTATATTCTTTTTATTTTGTTTTACTGAAGAGATTGACAGACTCTGCTGGCTGGCTAACGCTGTACACCATACTGATCTCATCCAACAACAACACAAAGCAATTATTGTATCTAGTCCTTGTAGGCATCTACTGTACATCAGTGTCTTCTTAACTGCTATACCTTCCTGCTACATTTTTCGGCATTTATTGAGGCTGACATAATTCTGCTATACATGCCCTATCTGGTGCAATTACACTGTCAAATTAGCAATTAGATTGCTTTGTTTTTCATGAGACAGAAGAGAAAATATCATGAGAATAAGGCCATCCTTAAAAATATTCTTGTTTGCCGTAACCCGACCGACCCAATTTTTATTTATTTTTTCCTTTTAGTCCGACCGACTTGCCGGTTGTAAACTTGCATTAAGACCGACCGATTTTTTTTTTACTCTTCAAACAACTAATACAAATGCAATAAAATAATATAAATTACATTATAGTAAGTATTGTGAATATAAATTGCGTAGGCTACGTTCTTTCTTTTAAATAAAAACCCGTGGCGTCATCTATTATGATTATGTTTACACCATTGGTTTGCTCATGTCACACTATGGCCTGTGCCTTCGCTTTGTTTCATTCACTGTCAATGGTTCGCGCTCGGTGATGATGGCTGCGGCGCGGCTGCTTGTGAAATACGTCTGTATGAGCCTACATTTAGTCGCTCATTATTCGAAATTCTTAATGGTCAAATAGGAGAATAGGGAATCGATGTTAACGGCCTTTTCTCGGAGCGCGTCCAGCTCGTCATGACATGCCCACCGCGAACACGCGTCACACAGCAACTGCAGGCTCTGACAAACAAACACACATAAGTGTGGGAAGCCAAACACAACGAAAGTGGGACAAACGGCGCGGTGTGTTACAGAGTTCGCGCTGCGCTGACTTGTAATCTGCGTGGCTCAATGGACCGAGCCGCGCGAGTTGCGACTCGCGACAGACTCGACAGCGCAGGGAGAAGTGTTTGCTTGCGCCAGCCAATGGTCAGCGCGGCGCGAACTAATCTCACCAGCGCCGCATTGACCAATAAAACAGCACATCCCATACCAAAATGTACTAAATAGCACAAAAGAAAATCGACCATTCCATAATATGTCAGGACTATACTTAATAGGCCTATGGTTTCTACAATGCGCCTAGCCATTTGACCTCACTGATTTCCGTTAATAATAGCAGATGTTTATGGGTCAAATCTCTCACTCTCTCCCTGCAACTTTTTGTTACCCTCCTTTCCTGCCCCTAGACCAGAAAGGGGGCTTGTAACAGTCTGGGTCAAATGTAAACAAATGGTGCCAAACGTTTTATTGGTCGGCGCGGCGCTGGTGAGATTAGTCATTTTAATTTATTTGTTTCCCTCTGAAAATCCACTTTCATTGAAATCTAGTGGGTTTTTAAAAAATTTTTTATTGATTCTGCCTATTTTTTTCCAAATGAATGCAGATGGAATTAATGCAATAAATATGTTTTTTTGACAAAGATTTCAAATTGTTTGTGGTCTATAACCTGGATCAGAATGAGGTTCGCAATGGTACACCCGAAGGCATGGGTTGAAGACCCAGTCAGTGACGTCACGATATGTAAATTTGTTTAAATTCATACCGACGTAATCACCGTGACCAAAATTATCCTTTTTTTTTTACATTGAATCTTGAAAAAAAAAAAAACAGACCTACCTACCGACCCTTTTTTTTTTTTTTTTTGCTGTTACTGCAAACCAAAACATTTTTAAGGGTGGCCTAAGGTGGAGGAAGGAGGTACTTTAAAAAAAAAAAGTTTGTTATTGCTACAGTATAATGTTTGAGTTACATTCTGTATGCACAGAAAGATTTATAAAGCAAGTTACTTTCCCCTTAACTCCTTGTGTATATTATTGGTTTTGCACTTCATTGAATCTGTTTACAATTCTCCACTGTTCTGGCTTTATTATTTACCAGATGATAAGACTGTGACCTTGTTCAAATATTGTAAGACTTGTACAAATAAGTTTATTGACATAAGTGGAACTATGAAGTTACTATGAGATGTTGCGTTTGAGAACACGTGCCGAGGCGAGAACACATATTTGAGGCCTAGTAAAGTGGCATCATAGCGTGCAGTGAAAGACGGGCATCCGGGGACTGGGCTGCGCTAACGGAACAAGGATTTCCTGACCTAGTTGCTCAATATAAAAAAAAAAAACCTCACATAGATGACAGGAACCAGTAGATGATTCTCATTAACCAGTCATTTACAATAAAAAATGCGTATGTCTGAGTAGGACTGGGTAATATATCAAATATTTACACCTAATATAGCTGATAGTATTCATTTGATGGTGCTTCTTGTCCATTAAATTTCCTAAAAAAAAATTTGTCATTAGACTATAACTTTGCGATCTGTGTGTCTTTTGCAACAAGTATGAGAACATCAAGACAGAGAGATGTTCCAAAAGTTTGCATGTGGCATTTTTCATATATTAAAATGTTTTAGCAATGATACATATTTTAGCATAACTATTTGTTTGTACCATCATTGATAAGTAAGTTAGTTACTTGCATAAGTTTCCATGTGGCATGTGTTAAGTTTTACTAACTATTTAGCCATTTTTTATTGTTATAATAATGATTTTATAATGTCTAATCAAATCTAAATCAAAACTCGGAAATGGCATATGAGACACTGCAGTCTGGCTGCACTTTAAATGTTCATGTTATTTTCATTTTAAAAGTGTTCGTTTTCCAGTAGATGGCAGCAATTATTTTTTTACTATGTGAACTATTATCAACTATGGCACATTTTTCATGTTATCACATGAATGAAATTGAAAAATGTAGATCTTCCTTAAAGTGAATTTTACATAAAATGTTGCAGTTTTATATAAGTGAACATATTTTAATAATTACAAATTAAGGCAAATAAATTATACCATTGATACCAATTGAGGCGAAAAATACCATAAACCTCCCAAAACTGTACAACAGTTGACATTATGTCAACTTTATGTTACTTTATGCATTATGTTATAAAAAATGACATTATGTTGTTACAAAGACCCTAAACACCCTGAGTGTACACCCTAAACAAACAGCGCATAAGGTTTGAACCAGGTCAGGAGTTGCCAAACTTTTTTGTCAGCTGCACCCCAAAACCGTTAAATATTTACTTAAAGTACTGAGATTTTAAGTTAATACTTTAATATATTTAACACATTTGCATCCTCACGATTCTCTAATGTTGCTTAAAGGTCACATAACATGCAAATAAATATTACCATTTCAGTTTTTATTGATTAATTTTGCATTTGTTTATTTTAATGTTACATGTTAAGTAATAATTAGCATAATGATGAACGAAGCCCCTGCAGTTCCCTCAAAAACCCCTGTTTGGGACAGATTAATCTAGATTAATGTTAAATATAATATTATTCATTAATTCATTGTTATTTCAACTGAATCACAGACCACTTTAATCAGTTACTGCAAAGGAGAAGAGATTAGCTATTTGTACAAAAAAAGTCCATAAAACAAACCTTCACACACACACAAAAAAACACCTCCTCAAAGAATTTCTGTTGAAGCAACAAACAACTCCTTTTACAAATAGCCACTGTAACCACTTCTGTTTTTAGCCACTTTAACCAAAAACAGAACCAGTTGAGTACAAATTATATTTGAGAGGTTAAAGAGGAATTACTGCAGTACAAGCCCTTTTCAGTTGCCAAAAAAAAAAAAAAATGAAAAAAAACTGTTTATAGAAACTATGTTTCTGGTATCATCACACTAATAGGGTTCCGTCGATTTAAAGAGTACATTTTAAAACGCATATTATAGTTAAACATCCGTATATAATACATCAGTAATGCGTAGATGACAGATGTAGATGTCCCTGCCCTATACTTTATCTAAAATACTGTTTTCTAATTTTAGAATTATAACACAGTAGCCTACATGCAGTTTTCACAACCTTAAAATAGAGGCAGAGGTGAAAGATCCTATTATCACTAAGTGAAAATTGGAGTCTTTTCTTTGTACTGTATAAATAGTATTAGGCAGTATTTATACTTATTGCAAATAGTGGCAAATACTTTTTGCACCTCAGTGTATTGTAGTACTTTATAAAATAGTATGAAATATATATAGTGTGATTATTCAGTAAATATGTAAAAATTGTGGTCGATGTGCCGATGTCCGATCAACGCTAGGACACCACTTCCAATTTCTTTTATACGCTTAGTAAAGAGCCGTTATGCATTTCACTTCCACTTTTCAAATATTTTCTTAATTTTTATGTAAAATAAACACTTCTCTGAGATGATATGCATTGGGAAAAGGGAAAAGAATGGGATCAGGAAAAGAGTTGAACTCGTGCCGTTGCATCAAAAGCTAATGTTCCAATCGCTGTCCAGTTACCGGTTTAGTTCATTTTGCAATTTTGTCTGGCTCAACCAAGACGGAGATGGTGTAAACAGCTTTTGCCAACAAGATGGGCTATTTGGACATTCTGTAAACAGGCACTCTATAAAATTAATTGCGTTACTTCAAAGAATATTTGTACTTTTTAAACTGCATTAGTCACACAGCAAGATCATTTAAATCAGGAGTGCCCAATCCTGTACGCGGAGAGCGACCTTCCTGAGTGCAGTTCCAACACTTCTCTAACACACTTGTCTGATATTATCAACAGTTTCTGGGAATCTTAATAGCCGATTCAGGCTGTTTTTAGATTAGAGAAAAAGCTGAGCTTTGCAGGAAGGCTTTAGCCATCACAAATGTTTATTTCGACTGTCATGTCCATCTGTTTGGGCCATCACAATTCATATTTTAATTTGGACCAATTACAATACTACAGTAGTAGACCAACATTTGAAGTGGATCAAAAAAGTTCATCAAAGTTGTCCTAAGACAAGAACGGGTGTTGTTCAAAATTAATGTATAACTTTGATGAAAGGTTTTGAACCACTTCAAATGTTGACTACTGTATATACAAATTTGAGCCAGTTACATGGGTGTGTTACTTCAGGGTATTCTGCATCACAATTTCTATTTCAAGTATGAAAGAAATAAGGAGGAGGAGAAATTGTACACCAGTTTAAACCGCTGCAAATAAGCGGTGGAAAAATGTAAATTATACTTCCTCCTTTTTACAACCGATCTATCATTTCCTTCATGTGTTTTTGAGAGCCATGGAGAGGTATAACAAGTTACGATTCGCCTCTAGGTATGTGGTATGCAATTTTAAAAAAAACTTAAATTACCAGTGCATCCAATGACACTCAAAGCTTAGAAACTAAAGAAAAAAAATTGCCGCAAGCCTTCACTACTTCAAAATCATTAGCTAGTTTATACAAAACAACTTATGATACAGTAAATACAGGTTCAGATCATTCAAGTAACCTGAAGTTGAGTGTTTTGTTCAAGGCCACAGTGTTGATGGATGAAGCAACCCTTTGGGATTTTTAACCTGCAATCTTTCAGTTACCAGCCCAAATCATCTGCAATATAAGCAGAACCACATCTCCAAAAATTATAATAGTTTATGATTGTATCATAAATATACTTACTTGCACCATTGTGACCACATGACATGGATTGAGGAGGTAGATCACAGTCTTTGTGGCAAACTTAAACCCAACCTCAACACCAAAAGTCATGCACAGAGCCACAAGCAACAGGTTCTTGCCCCAGCTGTCTTCCTTACTCCTCCTGCCATCTCTCCCAACATCTCGGACCTCTTTAGGGACATTGAGCTTCTTCATGGCCACCACCACTTCCAGAATAGAGAACAACACAATGACCAGAGTCTCCAATATTCTCTGTTTTGGAGAGAGGAAGGCTGCGCACTCTGGCCCTCCATTACCCTCAAACATGGGGTCCACACCTCCATAGATCCAGTCCAGCAGACTGTAGATATTATACCGAGACATGTTCCTCTGCTCGTATTGAAAAAGGTACGAACAAGACGGTATAAAGGACAGGACACCAACCTCCTGGCGAAACATTAACTTCAAATCTGTCTTCGGAGCAAGAATAATAAAATGCTCAAGGAGGAGGGCGGACTCAGCTGTTTCAACAGATCGGCATCCTTTATGTGAAAGACACCTGTGGAAGAGACCTAACGTTACACACTCTGATGCGGTGTGTTCACAGATGCTCGTCAGGGCTGGGCTGGAGTTGGTATGCAAGGAGGAAGACGCCTTTCCAAACGTAACGTCTTGACTGGTAAACGTTTTCTTCGCTAAGAGGAGAGTCCAGAATATTCCTGGCCAGAGCGGACCATTACATAAAAGCTTCAAAGAGGCTCTTGTTTCGCGCGAGAGGCCTTAAATATATCAACAACACTGTAAAACACGACCACGACCGATGTGACAGGGTTCGGTGAAGCTCGCTGCTGCTGCAACCTATCATCCGATAAAATGCGTTAAAAGCAGATGCAGAAGATGCGATATACCCAGCTCCATGTGGCGAATAAAAGAGAAACCATAGAAACGCCGCCCTGTTCACGCGGGCCCCCACATCCACCCAGCACCCACACTGCAACACGCCTGCGCGCTGTTTTCCCCGAAAACCATCAGCATATTGATGTGGCCGAGTGCTGCCGCACATTTCCTGGAATGGGACTGTCGAGTGCGGTGGCCCCTCCTTCTTTTCACAAGTTGTTAACTCTCTCACTGCTGGTGTAGCTGTACTTTTTAGGGTCACATTTTCTAAAATGATACAGTGTCCCCACAAATAAAAAATGTGGAAGGCACACTAATTGACAGGAGAGGCATAAAAAGTATTTGTATTGTGTTACACATTTATTCAGAGGCATGTCAGTTGTATAATTTTTATTTTATTTTATTTTATATATAGCCTATATATATATATATATATATATATATATATGACTTATATGTCACATGTATGTAAACAATATGCATTTGTGTAATTTATACATTACACATTTAAAGACATATCATACATGCATATTTGTTTACATAGCCTACATCTGACATATAGTCATATTATATATATATATATATATATATATATATATATATATATATATATATAATAGGACTATATGTCACATGTAGGCTATGTAAACAAATATGCATGTGTGTAATTTGTACATTACACATTTATTACAAAGATATGTGTATACTTCAAAATATATATTATATATAGCCTACATTAACATAATATTTATATTGGCTTGATTTATATGTCAATATATAAAATTGTTCCTATTTAGGTTTCATATTGTTATGCTTTAAGCAGGGATGAGGAGAGGTGAGCAAGTGCAGCAACAGTTTATTCAAAAAACGCAAACCAAGATAATCCAAAACAGAGACAGGAACATAATCCACACAGGGGAAACCAGGAAGGCAACAGGTTACAAAGGGTGCGTCTCAATCAGCTCCCTAATTCTAGTCAGAGCACTGATCAGGGAGTCTGCCATTTTAAGGGCTGTATCAGTTGCAGAATCCTTCCAGGGCACTGAAATGTTCGCTCCCTTTTTTTAATAAGATGTAATTCATGCCCTAGTTACACTTAATATTGTCACATTCTCCTGGTTAAATAAACATCACTTTACAGTAAAGAACATGACAGCAATGTAATTAATGTTCTGTTTATTAAAACCAAGTATCTCATCAAGTGTTTTTAATCATTTTTATATTTATTCCAAAAAACAACTAAAGGCAGTAACAATTTAGCAGCCGGTTTTTTTAATAGTCAACTTATTTTCAGATCATCAGTCATCAAGCTCAGAAAACCCTCACAGACACAGAGATGTAGGCCTAACAGTAGCGGCCTTTGTTTCATCTGTTTCACCTGAAACACAAGGGGCCTCCACTTGTGCTTGAAAAAGACTAGATAAATGATTAGCTAATAACTCAATGACTCATTCATAAAGACACTGGCTGCGTTCGAAATCGCATACTCTTTTGAGTAGGTAGCTACTTATTTTGAGTAATTTTGAAGTAATTAGGCTACTTCGCGACCCCTAAAAAAGTGTGTTTTATATAGTTTGTGATTGCTCACTAAACCCCCACAGTCATCATATTTTGAGGCCATTTCAAGTTTGATTGTGACTTTCACTTTATAAAGCGTTGATATCTAAGTGGGAAAACAAGTGGTGGGATTAATCGCTCAAAACAATCATATCCAATCAGAGACCGATGGAGGCATTGTCTCCTCTCACATGACTTAACCTGCAGGTGTCGCTGTTGGACAGTGTTACTTTAGAAAAACGAGTGATTTGTGTCACATTTTCCTGTTATCACTGTAAAGCTGCTTTGAAACAATCTGCATTGTATAAAGCACTATATAAATAAATGTTGACTTGAGCATCTTGTTCCTTACTCAGGGAACAGGGGTTACATGTGTAACCCAGATGTTTTTGGGAGGAGAATGCTGGCCACACAGAAAAACCTGGGGCCGAAACTGTGAAGCCATGATAGCCAGGTATGTTTCAGTTTAGTTTGTGCCAACCCTGGGTTTTAGGCACCATGATAGTGGTTTGGTGTCACGGGTGGTTGCAGGAAGGCAGACGAAGATGAAGAATAAAGTTACAATACGAAGTTTAATGAGGATAATACAAAATAATAATCAGACATGAAGGGCAACACACTCTAAATGCAACATAGACTGAACAGAGAATGAATGTGAGGGATAAACTTATACAACAAACACAAACAAGGATAATTAATTGAACATGCATGACATTTTCTAAGGGCTTCATTATGGAAAAAACTGAATGGCGAACACATTCATCTCACATTTTGCTGATTTACATTTGCAACATTTTGCATACAAGTGTTGTGGGATGTGTCTCCAATGTGTTTAGTTCAGGACAGCTCAGTGTGGGTGTGAACGAGAGTGAGTGCGCGTGTCCGAGGCGCGCGCGCCGCCCCTGTTGATTCCCCGTGAGGAGCGGATGAGAGTGTTGTGATAGTGATACAGCGACCGGTGCAGGTAGTTAGCGATTACAGTGTATTTTAGTGCAGCCAGCAAAATAAAGCACCTAAACTCTTCGGCAAGACGGCCTCTTTGTCATTTATATGCTACCATCACACTAAACAGCGTGAGGTTTAGGGAGTTAACCCCGGGAGGAAAACTACCGGCCCTGGAGAAGACGAATCTCCCCTGTGTCTCCCAACCACGGTTAGGAGACGGAAGCAGGAAAGGTTAACACTGGCGACCACGAAGGGACGGTCACGTTGTTAAAAGACTGGTGAGCATTGAAAATAGAAGGACAATAAAAAGTAAAGCCGAGTGACTGTAATACAACCTAAATAGCGGCGTGACTAAGCTAATACAAAATGGCGGCCGCTCGCTATCCCTCCGATGTTTACGGACGAGAAACCAACTACTCAAACCCGTTCATGTCGCTAACCAATGTGGAGGACAACAATCAAGTTACTGTGAAAGCTTACGAGCGCAAGGCTGAGAGAAAACGCGAACATTATAACCCATTCCTGTGTGATGAAAGTTGCACTGCCGCACTTTCTAATGGAGAAGATCTGTTCGCGCCGTTCGACAGCCCCGCCCATTTTTCACCCACAAATCCTTTTAGTAGAGGCAACAGTCAAAGCCACGGCTCCGTGAGAAGGCCAGACATGCACCTTTTCACATATCCCACTCCAGACATGCCATTTAAGGGGCACTATGAAGTCACAAATCCCTTTGCCAATGTTCACATGGGAAGTTTTGTACATAGCACACCAGCTATATCCAAACCCGAAGCCAGTACGTTTCCCATGCCATATTCTTCTATTAATCCAGACATGACTGTAAAACATGGACATTTTCCATTGCGCCAGGCCGGTCCCTCATCTCCAACACGTAAGAGCCGCTCTGCGCCCCGTCAGCCTCCTCTGTCGGACAGTGATGAGGACTATAACCCCAAAGAGAGAGTCCCCACTCTACGTCCCGGCCAGTACGACGGCAGCACACCGTGGAGAGAGTTTCTGCACAGGTTTGAGAGTTGCGCGGAGGCAAATCACTGGTCAGTCAAAACAATGGCTATTCAGCTGAAATTCTGCCTCACCGGAGCTGCAGGCGCCATCGTCCACAGAAACCCCCGTTCATCCAAATGGGACTACCGCCGCCTGCTGGAGGAACTCGAAACTGCTTATGGCCCTTCTTCAGATCATGCAGCGGCTGTAGCCATAGAGCTGAGGCAAAGAGTGCGTAAACCAGGTGAGGCGCTTCATGTGTTCAGGGATGACATTTATGGAAAAGTATCTATAGCTTATGGTGACTGGTCAGAGGCTGAGCAAGACGCTATAGCGGTTGAAGTTTTCACAAACGGCCTGGGTGATGCAGAGCTAGTTCAGAGACTGTTAGAAAACCGTCCAGCTACCCTAGCTAAAGCTTATGAGATAGCCCACCGTCATGACACTACCAAGAGAGCTGCTTCCTATGTCACCAACATCATGCAGCCAGGGGCCCGCAGCCTCATTGAACGCAGGCCCCGGGCCGCTGTTGTCAGAGAAAGAGACAAAACTGAGACTGTGACTACCACTACCTCTGCAGTTAGCCCATCACCCACTCACTTTGACGCGCGCACATCTGCAAAAACACCGAAGCCGCACAAGAACTTTAAAAGGGGTGACATTCGCTGCTATAACTGTAATGGTTGGGGTCACAAGCAGAGTCAGTGCTCATCCCCGCTACAGAATACAGAGACTTTCCGTTCAAAGGCCGCCAAAGGAAGCCCGCTGACCACTGTGTTCCACCTTAAAAGCCAGAGTCGTGAAATGAACATTCACATGCGCATATCTGAGCTGGAGGTATGTGCAGTCCTGGACAGTGGAGCGCGGAGGAGCGTGCTGCCCCTTCACCAATACAACGCCATTCACCAAGATGTAAGACCACCGCTTCAGTCATCCATCGTTGAGACTTTGCTCGGGGTGGGACCAGGGGACGTGCCAGTGCTTGGTGAGGCCAAGGTACCGGTCAGTATCAACAACCGTCAAGTTGAGGTGGACTTCCTTGTAGCGGACATAGAGGGCAATGAGGTGCTGCTTGGCCATCCTTTCCTCACCCAAGCTGAGGCCCGCCTTGATTTCGGTAAGCACCGCATAATTCTGTTTGGAGAAGAAGTGCCCTACTTTCACCCAGAGACTGTTCCAAAGTCACACGCTGT